GAGGGGCGCGTGTACCGAAAAAAAAAAAAAAAAAAAAGGCCAGACCCCAAGTCTCCCTGCTACGGGCTGGGGTGCTTGTTGGAACTTTACTCTGATTTATGATTTGTCTTTTTTTTTTTTAAACTTTAAGAGCCACTGATTCCGTCTTGCTTCTGCGGGAAAAGCGGGTGGGCCCAGCAGGGGCAGAAGCCTGATGGGGCTGATGAGGTTTGGGAGTCGCAGAGGGTGAGGGAGGCCCAGCTCCCAGGTCTCTGTCCCCATGTGTCAGGGTGGGCAGGGGTCCCAGCTACCAGTGATCGCGAGACGGGGGTCTTGGTCAGGGGAGCCTAGCCAACCCAGGGAGGCCATGGGCGGGCCCAGAGTCGTGGGACCTTGCCTCCAAGGAAGTGAAGGCACAAGCGGGCGGTCAACGCCTCGGCACACACCAGTCTTCCAAACCGGGGGTCAGAGCAGCCGGCGAGACGAGGGGGACGGGCCGTGTCCGAAGCCGAGCTCGTCCCGCGGCCCCCGCCGCATGGTGCCCATCATGTGTGCTGCCTGTTTTCTTGGCAGGCTGGGAGGGGCAGCAGGCAGGCAGAGCGGGCAGGGCGGGGAGGGTGCCCCAGCAGCCCCTTCCTCGGCACACACTCATGCACATGCACACACACGCCCCGCGCTGGCATGCGCCCCCTCCCCGCTCTGCCTCGGGGACAGGCAGGGGCTCCACTTCCCCGCTGCTTCTCCAAGCCAGCAGGGAAGGAACCCTCCCACGTGGGGGCTGTGGAGGCCTCAGGCTAAACTGGGATGGCCCCGGGGCCCCTGGCCCTCCTGGGTCTCTAGCCGGCTCCCACAATACCCCACGCCTGGCTCCACTTAGTGCCAACAGGACATTGTGGGTGGGAGGGAAGAGAGGCCCGCTCCCAGCAGAGAGCCCCCAGGCCAGCGAGGAGGGGCAGCTGTGCAGAGTGGAGGCGTGTTTGGCTGCAGAGCCCAGGGCCTGGGGTGCCTAGGCCTGGGGGGAGGTGATTAAAAGGGCGTTTGGTGGCGCCCTCCTTCCTTCCAGGGCACTGACTCTGCAGGCAGGGGTGGTCACACCTGTGCCCTCCACCCTTTGAGTGGCCAGGATCCCCGGGGGTAGAAGGCAGACCAGGAAGTAATGGGGCAGGCCTGGGCACCCAGGACCCATCGACAGAGGGATCAGCATGAGGGATATCAGGCAGAGAAGGGGCGGCCCTGACCACACCCTCCTGTAGGCCCCTCCAGGCCCCATGGCTGCCTTGGGCCCTGTGGAGGCTGGCGCCTGCCTGCCCAGAAGGGGGCTACTAAACACGTGATTGCAGCGGGGGTCAGGGGGCCTGCAAGCCCAGGACACATCCTGAGCCCAGCCCAGCAGCTTCTGTAAACATACACAGCACTGCGGGCCACCTTGGTGGGGGGGGGTCACCCCAGGGGGCTGGCCAGCAGGCACCAGATCTGGGGGTGGCCAGGGCAGATGCCAGCCTGGACCACAGATGAGAATGTGTGGGGAGGGGGCCGCTCTCCATTTCCACCCTGGGAGAGCAGCCAGAGGGCAGTGACGGGGAGTCAGCATACTCATGGCTTGTCCTGGAATAGGAGGTGCCAGGATGCCCCTGTGGGGGGCACTCAGGCTGAGAGGGCGGAGTGTTGCCCTGTCTACCTGGCAGGCTGCCGCAGGCTTCTCCCTGCTCCACGCCCCTCCCTGTCATTCCCTATCTGGAGGGCCCAGATCCCAGCTGCCTTGGCTCTGGGGGTTCCAAAGCTGAGGTAGGGATGCGGACCCCCAGCTCAGCAGCAATGCCCAATGCCTGAGGCTACACTAGCCCCGTGGGGGCCTCTCCTCAAAGCTGCCCAGCCTGGAGGGCAGCCACCAGAAGCCTGAGGAGCCACCTGCTCTGGCCCAGGCCTCAGCTGGCAGCAACTCCTGGGGTGCTAGCGTGCCGAGATGACCAGGTCATCCTGCTTGGCGGGGCTGGCCCCATGGCCGGTGGGGGTGGAAGTCCGGATCTTGTCCACTGCCAGGCACTCCTGGCTGCTGAGGCCCGTGGGTGTCAGGTCCATGAGCTCGCCCGAGGAGCTGAGTGGGAAGGAGGGCGACAACGAGATGCCCGAGGAAGGGTCGGCCGAGCCAGCGAAGAGCCTTGGGGGCTTGGGCACCAGGTTGGGCTCGAACTGGGCGCGGAGCAGGATCTCTTGCTGGCTGGGGGACTTTGGGCCCTCGGCGTAGTCGCTGGTGGGGCTCTCGGGCACCACCATGCAGTAGAGGTCCTGGAAAGAGCTGCTTTTGCTGTCCAGGTTGAAGAGGCTGTCGATGAACTCGGCGAACTCCAGCACCTGAGGGCTGGGCGAGTCCCCCAGGCGCCCGTCACGCAGCGCCAGCTCTCCGCTGCGGGGGGGTGCCCCGCCGCCACCCCCTTCTTCCAGCTCGTCGTGGGCGGCTGCGCTGGGGGGCCGCTCGGGGGTGATGCCCCCGCTGCCCAGGGTGGCCTCCAGGGGCTGCGTGTCCTGCGAGTGCTTGGACAGGCTGTCGGCCGCCAGCAGCTCGGTGCGTGAGCTCAGGGACGGGTTCTCCTCGGGGATGGCGGGGTCGATGTAGAAGGGGTGGCCCTCGTCGCGCTCCAGCACCGCGTGGAGGCTGGGCGAGCCGCGGATGCTGCGGAAGCCGGAGGAGCGGCGCGAGTCGAAGCTGTACAGTGACTCCGTGTCCGAGAGGCTCTCCATGGTGGCCAGCGGCGCCCGCCGCGCCTGCAGCTCGGCCGCCAGCCGCTCCTGGGTGGACAGCAGCAGCAGCTCCACTGGGTCCTGGCGGGCTGCCGCGGCCACAGGGGACAGCAGCTGCCCCTCCGAGAAGCCCTCCAGGCTCATCTCAGACTGGGACTTGCTCCTGAGGGGGCAGGGAGGGGTGAGACTCAGGGGGGGGGGCCCACACCTAGTTCCCCAGCGGGAGGGAACTTGGGGAGGGGAAGGAGGGGAAAGCGGTTGAGCAGTCTGGGGACAGGGAACCCTCCTTTTTAAAAACCAGACCCCAAGATAGAAGACAAGAGAGTCGATGCAGGGCTGAGCTGGGGAGAGGGGGCCGGGGGCCTGCACTCGTGCCCATCACTGCACCGACGTCGCTGTACCCACCTGGAGACTGAGGCCCAGAGAGATTGGCTGCCCCAGGTCACTGGAGGCAGAGGTGGAAGGGTAGAGAGGGAAGGAGGGAAGGTAGGGAGGGAGAGAGCACGGCCCAGAGCCGCCCCCCGCTGGGTCCAACCCCACCCCCGGGCCAGCACCCCTCTGGGCCCCTTCCTGAGCTCCTATCACTTCCTTCCTCACCCGGGGCTTCCTCCCACCTCTCCCATGGGGTGTAGCCCTCTGCTGGATGGGGCTCTGGAGCCTGCAGGGAGTGAGTGAAGGGCCAGGGTGGGGGACACAGCAGCCACTGCAGCTGCGAACGGACACTGGCTCCCCCATCTGGTCATGCAGCCGCTATGGGAAATGCTTGTAAGATAGGGAGAGAAGTCCAGGTGTCCCCACCAAGGGTCAAGAAGCAGCCACCACCTTCTTTAGCAGCCTCTAGGCCAGATCTGTAACCTGGACCCAGGAGCTGGGCGGGAAGGGTCCCAGAGAGGCAGGAGGATCCCCACCCACCCCAGGAGCCACGGCCTCAGAGCCCAACCCCCCAAAGAGTGCGTGTGAATGTGGGGTGTGTTTGCGTCTGGAAGCGTGTACACGCCTGTGTTTCTGCGTGCAGCATGCATATTAGGCGTCTGTATGTCAGTCGGCCCATGTATCTGAGAGGCTGGGTCTGGGCACAGGTGCATCCATCATTTACACACATGGCTGCCCACACAAGCGTGTCCTTGTGTCCAAGCGTCTTGGCCTCTGTCTTGGTGTGTGTTCTATACGTGGATCTGTCTGTATGGGGCTCTGTGCACTTAGAGCTACTATTTGTGAACACATGTATATACACGTGTAAGCTTTAATACGTGCGTGCGTGTTAAGTGCATGGGTGTCCATCTGTTTGGGTCTAAACAGCTATGAGTGAATCTGTGTGCTTGTGGTCAGGGGTCTGTGCATCCCTGGATGCCTACTAGCCCACACGGGCTTCAGTGGTGGCAGGCTGGGGGACAGTGGGGGCAGAGCAGGAGAGACCCCGAGCAGCGGAGGCAAATTCAATCCCTCCCGTGCACGTGTACAGAGTGGCGTGAACATATGAGGGCCCGGCGTGTACACAGAATGCACGCGTGCACAAGCATCGACCGCGCTGAAAGCACGCGCGTGGCCACTGCACACACCCTCTGGGGCGGGGCTGCGGGGCGACGGCGCTCACCTGACACTGCTGTTTCGGTGGTCTGCGGCGGGCAGCTCCAGGGCCAGGCCGGCGGGCACAGGTGGTCCCGTGGGCAGCGGCTGCTGCTGGAAGATGAGCTCCGGAGTCAGGTCCACCTCCGTGGGGCTCACCATGACCTTCGCAGCAGAGAGCAGGGCCGTCTTCCCCTTGTTGTAGTTCTCCAGCACCTGGGGACAGGACGGGGAAGCTGGTGGCAGCGGAGGCGGGGCAGCAGGCCAGGCCTCTCAGGCGCAGCAGAGCTCCGTGGGGTCAGCCGGGCCTGCTCCCCTCCCCACACGGGGCCCGGCTCCTCCGGGAAGGTCGGGGCCAGGCCCTGGGATCGTGCCTCGCCCGCCCCACAGATGGGACAGGTTGGACTCTTCCTCCTCTGTGGCCGGCCCTTCCATGGCCAGGCAATGGCCAAGGCTGACCCTGCTTGGCCATGCGTCCGCCAAGTGCCAGGTGGCCTTCAGGGTTTGAGCTCAGCCTGCCTCAGGGACAGGTTCCTGGGTGGCTCCTAGCCCCTACCCACCACAGGACCACACAGTGGTGTGGTCAGAGGCGGGTGTGGAGCCCAGGATACGAGTGGGCTCCCTGGCCCACTAAGTGTCCAGGGAGCGTCACACCCTTGTGTGTAACATGGGGACGGAGACCCGGCCAGCCAGGTGCCGTGGGGCTCACCTTGTTGAGCCCCTCCATGACCACGTAGGGGAGATGCTCGTGCAGCATGGCCGGCGAGATGATCACCTCGTTGAAGGCCTTGTTGTCGCCCCAGATGGCAAAGTACGTGGGCTCCTCTTGTTCGCAGCAGCTGAGGGGCACAGGGGCCAGAGGGAAGCTGGCGGGTGGGGGGCAGCCTGGCCTTGGCCCCCAGGCCCCTGGCCCTGCTCTCTGCCCTGGCTTGGTGGGAGTGGGGTGGCCTTGGAGACGCCCTGCCCGGCTGGACCAGCAGGGCTGTGTCCCCGGGCTCCTTGCTTCTGCCTCACCTCAGCCCTCGCCACCAGCCCTCCGCAGCCAGGAACATTTATGCCACGTAGAGCCAGAAAGCCTGACCTTGAGCTGTCACCTGCCTGTGGCCTGGGCCATACCTGCTCCACCCCAGGGAGGGTCCCGGCTCGCAAGCCGTTGTTTGTCGAGGAGGCAGCCCAACCCTCTGAGAGTGCGGGAAGTGGTCGGGGGTGAGGTGGGAGAGGTCGCCGTACCGGCCCTCTCCTGGTCTCTCTCCTGCCCCCGCCAGCTGTCTGCCAACTCATCCCAGCTGCGATGCCAAGTGACAACTGAGGCGTGAGCTTGGCCAGGGCTTTAGGGTGACCCTCCAGGGCATCTGCTTTTAAATGGATGCGAGTGCGGACAGCTGTCCTGGGGGACACTAGGGAAGGGTGACACTGGGGACGAAGACCGGGACCGTCAAGAGAGGAGCCTGGAGTCCTGCTCTGGATCGGCCTGTCGTTGCACTTCCAGGGCCCGAGGCTCGGGCAACCCTGCTGTGGGCGCCCTGGGCCACTGTCACCAGCCTCTGCACCTACGCCCCGAGGGTGACAGAATGAAGGCCGGCCCCACCCTCCACACCCCTGCCCTGGCTGCCGCCACCTCCCAGCTGACCGGGGCGTGGGCAGCACCTACCAGCACTGTTCCGCTGGGTGGTTGTGGACCACATGGATAATGCGGCCGGGGGGGTAGAGAGGGGTGCTGGCGGACAGGGCGATGGTCAGGTCACTGGGGTGGGTCCAGAGCCGTGTGCTGGCCAGGGTGGTCACCTCCAGCTCCTCGGGCAGCTCCGACTTGGGGATGCATTTTGTGGCCCCTACGATGATTCGCCACTGTGGGGACAGGGAGAAGGGGGGGATGGAGCTGAGTGGCGCTGCCCGGGCGGGCAGGGGGTGCTCAGGAGAGCTCACAGGTGACAGTGGGGAGCTGGGATGGCCATGGGGCAGAGGGAAGGGCAGCGCCCAGTGGAAAGGCGGGGGCTGAGGTGTCCAGCGGCCACGATGGCCAAAAAGGTGCCAAGGACAGATGACATGGAATGGCTGAACTTCAGGGCTGCAACACCAGTCAACCCCTTATCTAGCGGAGGGGAAACAGGCCCAGCGAAGGGAGGGGACTTGCTCTAGGTTGTCTCATAAGTCAGAGGCAGAACAGACCCCGAAGCTCAGTCCAGCTGCACCCACCAGGCCCGGCCACATCGAGGGCGGCTCCCCGCCACTTGCCTCGGGGGCCTGACAAGCACCCTGGACTGGGTCTGAGCGGAGCAGTTCCATGTCCTTAGGCTCCTCCTATGCCTTCGTTGCCTGCTCCCCCCGGCACCTGGTGCCCTGCCTGCCAGATGGTCACGGGCACCAAGGCTGGGAACAGTCCCAACTGGGCTGAGAGGGTGAATGGGGTGAGGGCGGGCCTGCGGGCACAGAGGCCCTGCTGGGCCTGGCCGGCCACCCCCTGCCCGCCTCAGGGCGCCTGGCTGCAGCATGCCCACCCCCAGCCTGGAACGCTGAAGGCCATGTTACAGGAAGAGCCCCCAGTGTCCTCTGCAGGCCTGAGGAGGGGTTAGGGAGGGCTGGTCCTCTCCTCTCAGCCGCAGGGAAAACCAGAACAAACTGCCCCCAGAGCCCCTCCCCAGGCGACCTCCAGCCTCCCTGAGCCTGGGGATCGCAGTGGGCTTTGGAGGAGGCCTTCCTGTCACACTCGGAGCACTGACCTCGGGACTGCTTTGTCCCGACTGCAGGCAGCTCTGTGCCACAGGAGTCAGGACTCAGGAGCCCTCGGTTCCAGTCCTGACTGCGTTACGACTTGCTGTGTGAGCAAAAGCAAGTCCCTTGCCCACCCCGGGCCTCCGTTTCCCCATCTGCACAAGGACAGGTAGGGGGCGGGTGGCGTGAGCTCGGAGATGCTGAGGGCCTGAGGGCCTGAGGTCCCCAAGACATCAATCATACCCCAGCCTGGCCTCACGTGGCGAGGGGGCCGAGGGACAGGTGGGGCAGAAGACAGAAGGCAGGAGCCCAGAGCCCAGGGGGCCCCGGCGGCAGGGAGGGGAGTGAGCTCACTTTGGGCTTGGTGCTCCGCTGCAGGACATCCAAGAGCTGTCTGCGGAAGCCTTCCAGCTGGGAGAGGCCGATCCTGGAGAAGGAAGCAAGTCGGGGCGTCAGCCTGAGCTGGCCCAGGACGGGGAGATGGGTGGGGTGAGGGGCAGCAGGGCTCCCAGGAACAAGAAGACCAGGCCATCAGGGTCACGGGGTGGGTGAAGAGCCTGCAGCTTGGCAGGGCCCAGCCAGGAAGGGGAGGCCAGGCAGGGCGGGCCGACCGTGCCCTCTCACCCTGGACACCTGAGTTGGGGGGATTCTGGGGGTCCCTCGAGGAGGTGGGAGTTTGAGTGAGAGAGACGGGGCACCTGGGTGAGGCCCCGAGATGGCAGAACAGCCCAGGCCAGGCAGGTGGAGAGAGGGAGCGACTTGCCTGGGGACAAGGTCTTTGCCCAGGACCACAGCTGTCACAAACTCCTTGGAATACTCCATGGCGTCCTCGCTGCAAGGGAAGCCGAGGGGGTGCCAAGGCAGGGGAGGGGCGCGGTGTTCCCAAGCGGGCTCGGCTCCAGCACTCCAAGACCCTGGGGAGCGGGGCTGCCTGCTCCCCGCCCGCCTATCCCATCAGCAAGGCTTTGCTGGGGCTAGATCCCAGGGTCCACCTGGCTTTTGCCAGAACCCCTGCCTCCACTCTCCAGGCCATTCCCAGGTTCCCTTATGATTGGAACCCAGACTGCCCAGTCCAGCTCCCTGACCGAGCCAGCTCCCAGCACTGTCCACCAGTCGCCCCCAGCCAAGTCTGAGGCCCCAGACTGCTCACCTCAGCAGGCCCCCTGGCGGGGAGTAGGCAAAGCACTTGAGGGTCGGGTACTGGGGTCGCAAGAGGAAGGAGAGGATGGCAGCGGTGCCTGCGCCCAGGGAGTGGCCCACCACTATCAGGCCGTAGTGTTTGGTTCCGCGGCCCTGGGGACCGAGAGAAGCCCTGAGAGTCCTGCCCCACTGCCTGCCAAGCTGACACCAGGGAGGCAGAGGGGGCTTCCCAGAGTCCTGGGATCATGTCTGTGCTGTGTGGCTGCTGGGGCAGAGGAAGGGCCAAGCTAGGCCCCCACAGAGCAACTTCTTGGGGAGACTATATAACAAACTCCTATTCATCCTTCAAAACCTTGCACAGAGGTTACCTCCTTGGAGAAGCCCTTCCTGATTTTCCAGGAGAGGCTTGCTCCCTCCTAGATACTGCATCTGCACCTGGGATAGACCTTTAAATATAATGATTACACTCTATTATAATCATTTGGTCACCTGCTCCCATCCCTGTGCCCCAACCACTAGACTGGGGTCTCCTGAGGCCAGGGACTGCTTGGCTTTGGGAAGGGCAGTTAGGAGCACCTCAGGAGCTGCCTGCCTGCACAGGGAGGAATGGGCAGTGGGCAGGCCCAGATCGCCCTCAACCAGAGCAGCACCCCTTCTATCTGTTCTGCAATTATTTTCTATGTTCATTCTGCTCAACATTTTGGAAGCCCCAGAACTGAACCATCTTTAGCCTCCAGTGCCTGGCACCAAGCGGGTGCTCACAACTGCGTGGGGCTGAGCAGGGGTGTTCAAGAGGAGCTGGTACAAAAGAAGAAAGGGCCATAGGGGGTGGGAGGGACTGAGCAAGTGAGGAGGGGGCTGGGAGCCAGGGATGGAAGGAGAGTGTAGGAGCCTGGCCTGCAGGGGAGGCTCCATCATTCACCTGTCCTGTCCCCAGTCTGTTGCCCTGGGGGAGGGCGAGCTGGGTGTGGCAAGGGCTCATGGCATGGAAATCGCCTCACCAGGTCTCGCCCGAAGGCCTGGGACAGGACCATCTCCTGCTCCAGCTTCTTTTTGATGTACTCAGCCGAGAGGACCATTCCCTGGGTGAGGAGGAACAGAGGTGGGCATCACAGGGAGGGAGGGAGGCCTGTCAGGGACCAGCAAAGCCACAGGGATGTGAAGCTCACTAACCCTGTCCCTCCCATTTCCCCCTTTGGTCCTCATGATAAGCTGGCTGGGGGCGCTGGAGGACACTTAATCACATCATTTCCATTTCACAGATGAGAAAACTGAGGCTCAGAGGGATGGTGTGCCTAATCGGAACCAGTGAGATCTCTTCCCAGTTGCCTCCTTGAGCTCTTGTGGGACAGGATCTGCGCCGGGCAGGGCTGTGGGGGTCCTGGCAAGTGGGGGGCAGTGGACTTTCCAGACGAATCTGCACCTCTCTGACCAGTCTCTCCTGGTGAGCCCAGTGACCCCAGAGGAGCCCCCACCCCAACAGGACAGGCCTGCGTGCTGGCAGCGGAGAGGGGAAGGCCAGGGGCCGCCGGGGGGGCCCACGAGGAGGGGTACCTTGTGTCCCAGCCAGGTGCCATGGTGCCCCTCCACAGGGAGGCGCTCGGCGTCACCAGTCAGGTCTGTCAGGGCGTCCTTGTGGGGAGAGAGGATGGTGAGGGGCAGGACTGGGAACAGGAGAAAGGAGGCGGGCACCCTCGGGGGCTGTGAGGGGGTCCACGGGGTGGGCTGGGTCACTGGGCAGCGTACCTTGGGGGACAGGGTTCCCCGGATACTGATCACCACCTTCTTCTTGTCGTGGTCCACTGCCACGTAGAAGGGGGTTTCATAGACCTAGGAGAAGGGCGGCTCATGAGCCTGAAAGGCCCCCAGGGTGGAGCCAGGTTTGGGGAAGTGACTGAAGCCGTTCTCCTTCAGGGCCCGGGAATCTGGCACCACTGGCCACTGGGCCCCTGACGCCTGCAAGGGCCACAGCAGGTCCCTCCCAACCCGGCACACAGCCTACCCGGCCTTCCTAATTCCGCTGACCCGGGCGCCCTGAGTGCTGCCGTCCTGCCTGCTCAGTCCTGAGGGGCTGACCCCTCCCCAGTGCCTCCTGCTTTTCCCCTCTCAATTCCTTCCCCCAAAGGCTGGGGCCGGGAAGCCCCAGTGCCAGGTGCGGGGTTGGGGTCCACTTCCTAGACCCGGAGCGGATGCAGGCCAGGATGTGGCGAGAAGGAGGCGGCCCATCTCTGGTCTGCCCAGCGAGGGGAGGCCTGGAGGCTTTGGCCAGCCATGCCAGCCAAGCCAAGGGCTCCTGCTGCTGAGGGGGACGGCGCACACACCCCAGGCCGCAGCGCTGCCTGCCTCCTGTGGCCTGTGGAGGACCAAGGCTGGGGGGACGCTGCACCAGCCTGGCAAGCCCGCCCCAGTCGCTCACCGCATCATGGCAGGAGGTGTAGACGATGTCCACCGCGGTCATGTTCTCGTCCAGGAAGTGGCGCCGGATGGCGATGGCGTTGCAGCCGCAGCAGTTGTCTTCCTCGATGGTAACTCCAGGGGCAAATCGGGGCCGTGCGGGACACAAGCAGCACCTGGGTGGGTGGCAGAGGGCTCAGAGCCAGGGACCCTGACGGAGCAGCGGTCTCCCCCATCCTCTCTGGAACTGGTTCTTGCAGCCGTACCCCCTCTCCAAAGCCTCCCCTGCAAAGCTCCACCGGCCCAGCCCGGGCCCAGCCCTCATCTTACTCGGCCTCTCGGCAGCACAAGACCCGGTGGGACTCACCCTCCCCCTTGAAACGCTCTCTCCATTTGGCTGGAGGCACCCTGTCTCCTGGGCTGCTTTTCCCTCGGGACAGCCTCCTTGTACTCGTCCTCTCACTGAGGACCCAGAGGTCAGCCCTGGAGCTCCTCTTCTCTCCAGCGACACCCGCTCCTGGGGCCTCATCCAGTCTTGGGCTTTAAATACCACCTATGCGCCAGTAAGCCCCGGAGACCTGCTCACATTCAACTGCCTGTGCAATACCTCCTCCCAGATGTCCCACAGGATTGCAACCTTTCCAGGTCCCAGTCCCCGAGGCCCCGCCCCCTGTGCTCCCGGCAGCCCCCACACCCACCCCTCAGGGCTCAGCTCCACCTCGGTGCCATCGCCATAGGGTCCTCACCCCACCTCACATCCCACACCAGTCCGTCAGCACGTCCGCTAGCTCTGCCTTCAAATTCAGATGTGGACTCCGAATGCTTGCCCTCGCCGCCACCCCGTACCCTGCTCCAAGCCACCTTATCCCTGCCTTGGAGTGTCACAGGGGCCTCCTGACTGGTCTCCCTCATTTATACTCGCCCCTTACGTTCTCAACATGGCTGCCAGAGTGACCCTCTAAGATGTACGTCAAGCCACATCACTGCACTCAAAACCCTCCGATGCTGCCCTTCCTGTCCAGTATAAAGGCCCAGAGTCCTTGCAAGGGCTGAGGGCCCTGCCCCATCTGGCCCTGGTCCTCTGGCCTGTTGCCTCCGACTCCCCTCGGATGCGTTGGCCATATTCCTGCCTCAGCCTCTGCACCGTGGTTCCCTCTGCCTGGAACATTCTTCTCGTGGTTTCTGTGTGGCCAGATCCCTCAGTCCTTCAGGCCTCTGCTCAAATGTTATGCTATGGGAGGTCCGCCGCCTGGGCCACCTCATCTGACATAGCTAGCCCCTGCCAAGCCTGACAGCACAGTCAGCCTAATTTTTCTCCAAAACACTGACGTGCTCCAATGAGCTGCATTTCTTTGTCTGTGCCTTGCCACCAGGCGGTGGGCTCCACAGGGCAGGGTTTGCTCTGCTTGGTTCACAGTTATGTGCCCAGCCCCCAAAACAGCACCAGGCACATAGCAGGATTCCCCAAAATGAACAGGGTGAGCGGCTGAGCTGGGCACCCAGCTCGAGTGCAGCGGCTCCTCGGGCCACCAGAGGGGGCCAGCACCCAACAGATGGGGCCCTGGAGCCCCGAGAGCATGTGACCTGTGTCTGCCTGCTCTCTTGGCTTGACGGCTGAGATTTTATTGATACTAAGAATCCTAGATCTTGGTGATGCACAGAGGTTTGTCTTCACTCGAGCAGCGCCTGAGGGACTGATACATACCCCTCAATGGGAAGAGGCCTCACTGAGAAAACCCAGGGTCAAGCCAAGTCTCGGAAGCAACCAGGCCTGGGGTGGGCAACCATCTCCATTTACTCTGGGAGACCCCCACACCCATCGCCCGCCACTGCTGGGCCAAGTGGGGACAGGTCTGGGCCTGTGGGCCAGGCTCCCGTTTTCAGGCAGCTGTGGCCCCTCTCCAACCTCAGCCCTGCCCTCTAGCACCGAGCACATGGCTGCCAAAGTGTACGTAGTCTTCGGAGACAGAGACCTGGGCTTGAATCCTTGCTCTGGTGGCCCTTCCTGACCGTGAGGGCCTGGTGGGCAGGTGCTGATAGCTACTTTACAAGGCTGGGGTGAGATCAAAGGCCCAAGATGCAGGCATACACCTGGCACCCAATAAATGGTGATGCCCCCTCTCTCCGGGGAGAAGGCTGCCCCTGAGTCAGTGATCTGAGGGCCAGGGGAAGCGATGAGAGCAGCGGGGCCAGCAGCCTGGAAGGGAGGGGCCCGCGGCACCGTCGAGGCCAGCACTCCCGCCTAGAGGAAGCTGGGGCACTGAGGGGCTCAAAGGTCCTGGGAGCCTGAGGACCCGCTTGGCCCATGGCAGGGCCTCTCCTGCCCACAGGAGACTGACCACACGTCCAGGGTAGGGCTGGAGCCGAGTGGGGTGTCCCCAGGGTGGTGGGGCCATAGGCAGGCATGGCCTGCCATGCTCTGTGTGGGACGGCAGGACCACTCCAGGTGAAGGGCCTGGGCCTGAGGCAGGTGGGCTGCCCTCCTTCCTCCAGCCAGTGCTGGGACTCTGGGCTGCTGTGGACAGGCTGGGACTCAGAAAAGGGAGCTCAGCCCTCTGGCCTCCATCCTGACACCCTTGGCTGTAGGCCGGGACTCCAGGCCTGCCTCTTCTCTGCCCCCCAGGGCACCGGGCTTTCACTGAGCCCTCACGGGGTCTGAGGTTCTTCTGCTTCCTCTGCCTGCAGCATTGAGAAGCTGCTGCAAGTGCAGCCTCGCTCCTGTCTGCAGAGCCCCTCAGGTGCCCAGGCTGCCAGTGACTCCCCGGCTTCTGAAATACCCCACAGGTGGGCAGGATGAACACTGCCTGTACAAATGACGTCCCCACTCTGCCAGCGAGAAATGGAGCAGGGCTGTTGGAGCCCAGATCTCAGGACTCCTGGCCCAGTGCTCATTTGGAGAAGTCTCTCAGCCGCTGCAGGGGCTCCCAAGGATGCTGGGGGGGTGAGAAGCAGTGTGTGGGCTGGCAAAGACGGGGAGGGGCATGGGGATGCCCTGGTCAGCTGTGTCAGTCGCTGGGGGATGGTGAGAACAAGTCTGAGGGCCCCCCAGCTTTCTGGGAAGAGGACGCTGAAGGAGGGAGTGGCTACTTGGGCCCCAAGGGCGGTAGTGTCGTGGAACAGAAGCTGCCCGCCCAGCATGCCAGCCTTTCCGGAACAGGGAGCCCAGGGAGCTGTCCTCCTTCTGCCCGGCCTGGGCAGAGCATGGAGACACCAAAGAAGGGGAGGGGCCCTCGTGGAGCCGAGCCCTCCTCTGGCCCACTTAGGAAAGCAGAGTCCACCCTGGCCCCCAGCGGTGGGCTAAGGGCAGCACCCGGCTGAGGCCTTGCCAACTCCTTGTGAAGAGGGCTGGAGCCTTTCACAAAGGGCATTCTTGCTGCCCTTTCAGAGGCTTCTATGGATTGGGGCTCAACCAGGAAAGGCCTTTCTTCCAGAAAGGCAGAGCACAGGAAGGGAGCCGGGAGAAGGAAGATGTGGGCAGAGGGGAGTAGTTGAGGGGGCAGGGAGAGAGATGGGACAGGGGTAAGCTGCACAGCCAGATGCTGGGCAACGTCTCATTTCGTCCTCTCAAACATCCCCATTTTACAGATAAGGAAACTGAGGCTTGCAGGGGTAGACCGACTTGCCCAAGGCTACCAGTGACAAAGCGTGGATTCAAACCTGATACCGTGTGATTCCAAAGCCCACGCCCTTCCCCATCCAGGGATAACACCGAACTAGAAAGGTTGAGGCCCAGAGATGGTGCAGAAGAGAAGCAACGCGGGCCGCAGGGGGCAGGGTAGCAGGTACAGTCCGTTTAGGGAGAGCCCCCCATGGGCAGGCCCGGCATCGTGACCACAGCCCCTCTGCACACGCCGCTAGCTAGGGGGACGGGCCGGTATACTCACGAGCAGGACCGGGCCAGCTGGCAGAGGCCACAGGCCGGCTTCCGCATCAGGTACATGGGCCACCCGTAGGCAGCCAGGGCAAAGAGCATGTAGTAGCAGACCTCTTTGTAGCGGAGCATCTCTTGCTGGAAGAGAAGAGGCAGAGGGCGGTCACCTCCTGCCCTTCCTGCCTGTAGCCTCAGGGCCCATGGGCTCCCCTCGATGGAGGATGGAGGCAGGAGCTGCCCTCCCAACGGGCTGCAGACCACCCCCACCCCCGCCTCGGAGGACCCGCTCCTCCAGATAATTGCATTTCCCTAATTATCTCCATGCAACCAGGGCACGAATCCTCCTAAGACCTGTCCCATTGCCCCAATCTCAGAAATTAATGATTTGGGGACAGAAAAACACTCAGAGCACTGGATCGATTTCCTTGCCCGTTTTCCCGAAAACGGAAGAGAGGGGGAGGTTACAGCGACAATCGCCCACCTCGGCAATCAGGCCCCCCAGGAACGGTAATTTAACCCTGAGAGGCCCGGACCCCCCGGAGGGGGCTGCCCAGCCCACAGAGCAGCAGGGCTGGCCCTGGAGACATGGACATGCTGGGGACCAGACCAGTGGCCCACCGTCAGGGCTTCTGGGCAGATTGGGATCTCTGAGAAAGGCGCCGGTTTGAAAGCTGGTGTCTGAGGCCGGTGGCTGTTATCAGCCTAACAGCTGCAGGAAGGCAAGGAGGCCCAGGTATCCCAGCAAAGCGGCTTCGGTGTCTCGGGTGCCCCAGGCACTGGGGACTCCTGCACTTAGAGGGAATTAGTCACCTTGTAAAAGGTGAAGAGAGTGATTAGTCATCTTGTGAAGTGAAATAAACAGCACCTTCATCAGGGCCCCGAGGGGTAGAACCGTCCCCTGGCTGCTCTATCTGCTCTCCAGGAAAGCACTGGAGGAGGTAGGTATCCTCTTCGGCTCAGGGAGGAGGGCGGGGCGCTGGCACCTGGAGGCTCAGCTGCCCCTCCCCTGCCCCCCACAGGCGAGAGAGGGCGTGATGAGAGCGGGCCTGGGCAGCCCCGGGAGGCTGGGACGGCTGCTCTGGGCACATGCTATGGACAGGCTATTTTAAGAAGGGATGCAAATGCCCATTTTGGGGAGCGGGGGCAAACGGAGAACAGGCTTTTCCAGGGGATTCAGATGTGAAGGATGAATCCTTTCTAACGCTGTCCCGACTGGCACCACTGGCGCTGTGCAGGGAACGGGGCTCAGGATGGCTCATCCCCTCCCCACCGGGGCTCTGGGTGAAAGGCAGGCCCAGCACCGTTTATGCTGCTGCAGGAACAGATCAGAGGGATCAGGGACTTGCTCAAGGTCACAGCCCCTGTCTACACTAAATCGGTTTGCTTCTGGGGCAGGGCCGGCCCTCCGGCTGCAGCTTCAGCCCTGGGTGAGGCGCTCCTTTACTGGGACACACACACGGGATTTCTCCTAAAGGCGCTTAAGAGGTTCTGCTACTCAAAAAAGCTTGGAAACCAAAGTGCTGTGTCCTGCTGCCTTTTGTAACAGTAACAACCGTGGCAATAATAATAACAGCTCACCCTCCTGAAGCCCTTTATCATCTCAGGGGGCCAGGACCAAGCATTCTGAGCACCGTGAGGCCAATTCAGGGGTCTTTTCTGTAGGACCAGCATGATGCAGGGGTGGGGGTGGGGCCGCTGGGGGAGGACTCGGGAGGAAAGGGGCATGAACTGAGAAGGGGGGCCGCCTGGAGGGCTGAGGGGGGATCCGCACAGTGCAGGTGTGCCCAACGCTGCAAGGGCAGCCGGCAGGCGGTCTGCTCGGGTCGTCCCGGCAGAGGGAGAGAGGGAGCCGGCACGGGGTGGAGGCGGGTGGCTCTGACTCACCGAGTTCTTGAGGTCGAGGTACTTGGTGTTTCTGGTCACCGGCATCCCAGACAGGAAGGCTAGGATGTCATTGTTGGCCTGGAAGACATGCGCGTTAGGGTGACTGCCCTGGGCACAGCTGCACGGCTGAGAAAGGGGTCCAGGCCCCCAGCTCTGCACCCTGCCTGCCTCCCCAGGGCCTGAGAGCCCAAAGGGGCGTGTGGTTTCTAGCTCTTCCGTGATCTGGCCAGTTTTCCAAAATCTGAGGTCTCCTCATGTCTCCAGTTGCTCCCCTTCCACCCAAAGCATCAATCCCCTGGGATGTCGCTAGCCCAGGCTGGGAGAAAACGTATTTTGCATGGGATGCCGGGAGACCCCAACTAGGACTGGTGTGCTGGCTGGGGTGGGGTGGAGAGGCAAGCGCAGAGGCTGGAGCGTGGAGCTGGATGCCTCATCGGGCCCCTGTGATTAGACGTCCCCTGGGGCCCTGGAGGCAGCCTTGCGGCCCCACAGAGGGAAGTCACTCAAGCAAGAGCCATGAGTGGTGAAGGGTGAGCTGGGGAAGGGAGGGGAGTGAACGTCAAAGGGTGGCCTCCTGGGCCAAGAGGGTGGGCGGAACCCGGGGGGCAGCAGGGGCGGCAGGGAGGGCCCGGGAGGAGGGCAGTGCGGGGAGGCGGCCTGAGCACGGCTGTGCGCTCACCTCGTCCAGCACGGCGTTGCGCTTGGCCCGCTGCCGCTGCCGGAGCAACACCAGGCCAGCGATGATGTCGGAGGGCACGATGTCCAGGTCTCGGAAAAACTCGGCAAAGAGGTAGGCGATTTCCGAGTAGGCGTCCTACGAGGTCCAGGGAGGCAGGAGGCGGCGGCAGGGGAGCAGGAGAGAGGACGAGACACGGGGTGTGAATGCCCGGGGCTGGGTGTCTGCTCGGGGTCCCCTGTACAAGTTCCCCCCAGCCCCCTACATGCGGCCCTCTGCAGCCGTGACCCTGAGGGCCCTGTCCTGGGCTCCAGGCCCCTGTAGACCCGGCAGAAGCTGTCCCAGACACCGCTGACCCTTCTCCTTCGGCGCTCACCGGGCACCGTCTACCCGGCACAGATGCCCCCGGGAGCCGTTTCCTGTTCCTTCCCCAGGACTAGGAATCAAGGCCTGGGCCTGGCCTGTTTCTCCTTCGGCCCTTCTCTCTAGCAGAGGAGCCAAAACTAAGCTCCTGGCTGCTTTCCCCACACTGAGTTTCTTCCCACCTCCCACCAGCTGTGACCTTGAACGCCCTGCTAAGGGCTGTACGGAGCCCTGGGTCTCAGGCCCCCTCCCCGACCTGTCCACAGTTGTAGGCTTAGGGACCCCCACCATGTGCCTGCAGAAGGGGCATGTGACCTGGGACCACTGGCCCCGCTAGCTGTCCTGCCAGCTCTGTTCTCAGGACAGCCATGCTTGGGGCCTGGGGGCGGGAGGCAAGGCAGACAGACGTGCCAGCAGAGTGCAGTCTGCCCTGCCTCACCACAAGCTGGTCTGGAACCTCTTCCCTAACTGGTCAGGAGAGGCTGTGGTGGGAAGAAACTCATGGCAACTGGTTTTCTCTCGCTGGGTTTCACCCTTGAGTGTCTGGCACATGTAAGAGAGGAAAAATCAAGGGCTGCAAACTCAAAAGCCTAATGGGGCCAAACAGAGCCTGCTACTGCTTTGAGAGGCCCACCTTGGGCAAATCTAGAAATACTGAACTTTCCCTA